ACATATATACATATATACATATATATATATATATATATATATATATATATATAAAGATTTAAGAAAAGCCCGTAGGCACTTTTATTAATAAAAAATGAAATTACAGAAAATAAGATAAAAAAGATCAAATATATGGCCCCCTACCCAAAAATAAAAAAAACAAACACTAAAAAATTTAAAAACATGCAGAACAGTATATATGTATATATTTATATATAGAGAGAGAAGGGGGGAGAGAGAGAGGGAGAGAGAGAGAGAGTTAATATAATGGAATATAGTTAGACTCCTCACACTTCCAAAAAGAATGAATCACAAAAATAAGTCATTTTCCTTCTTAATGCTTTATTAACATACCAACGAAATAATATAACGATTAATGTTTGAAACATAAACATTAGCTGATTAGTGATTGAAGTGAGAAACGCTAGCCATCATACTTAAATGTACGTATGTGATTGCCGTGCAGGTTGCTTTAAGTTCCCCGTTAAGTCGTCTCAGTTGAAAAATTAAATAAATTAGGCGATATGATATGATAATTGCGTATTATCCTTCATAGCTCAATTAGGTGGGAACAACAGCAGACACGTGTGAGCTTTGTATCGACGTCATACGTCTCGTGCATGCAAGAGTTTCTTTCTCTCTGGTAACCTTCTTTTTTTATTAAGAAAAAATAACTAAAAAAAAGTTGAGCTGCATTGACTCGATCCTACAAAAAAAAAAAATAGTATGAAGAGCAGTTATTATCGAGTTTTATTTTAAATTTATTTTCCTCTTATTCATTAGTTTCTATTCGATTATAATAAAAGTTTAAAATAAAAAAATTAGTATAGACGAATTTCGTTCACTATATTATATTAATTGCTTTTATTTTTTTTACCAATCAGACAAAGTGGTACATATAAAAGAAATTAAATAGCACTTCCATCCCTTAATCACTATATCGAAAATTAATTTCCACTTTTCACTAACTACTTTGATTGATTGAAGTACATAACATATATTAGTATGTTTTAAGGATCAACATTAATCTTAAAATGTACAAACTCATTATATATAACATTTTTATTATTAAGGAAATATTATATATATATATATGTCGGCACTATTTTTGGTGT